AGAGAGAAGAGAGGGTATTGTTATCATCTATAATTAGGAGGGGAATGACTTGTGGCTGCTACCATTAAAGACAATAGAAAAATTGCTGTGAGCCGACATTTGTAGGGTCAAATACCATGTGGCTTTTAGAAAATGTGGAGAGCAGTTCCAAAATTTCACTTCCACGAAAACATTGAAAAAGGAGGAGAAGCAAACAAAGTAAAAGATGTTGGATGGATGCAAGCTCAGACAAAACCGAGGATTAGCAAACACAAGGATGAGGACAGAATGGGAATTGGGTTTTGGTTTTTAAAAGAAAGAGACAGAGTGGCATTACTGTAACTCCGAGGAGTGGGGGTATTTTAGTAAATGAAAAAGTTGAGAGAAAGGGACCCTTCAATGTTGCTTTGGATGACTTTACACGCAAAACCATGGTCATGGCTGGAGCGTTTAGTTTTGGTTCCTTTGTCATTATTGCATTTCAGATTCTTATATTTAATTACTTTAGCTCATGAAATGGTTTTGCGGAGTTATGAGAACTAATTAACTCCGAGTTTGAATAACTGTAGATCGCTGAGACGTATCAAAGAACAATGATTGGGCTGAGTGTGAAAATGTGGAGATTGAAGTAGGGGAGTGTATATACTATATATTGTTATTGGATGCACAGCACAGCACAGCACAGCACAACTGGTGGTAATATATATTATATATATTAATGATATGCAGCGGCATGCATAGATACAGAGATGAGAGGTGGATGAAAAAAAAAGAATTAGAAAGCATGTGAAGGTATAGATTATCTATTCGAAATGGGATTGGGGCCGCTTGGGACTTGATGTTTGCGGGCATTGAAGTTGTGTTGGTGCCATGCCAATGCCAACGCCAATGGAGTTGGAGACCCAAACTGGAGCTGGAACGTCTTAGTGGCTCTTCCTAATTTCCTGCTTCTTTTAGTGCCAATGCAACCGCAGCTGCAACCGTGTGGTAGTGCTGGCGTTGGTGTGGGAAGCTCCATGGCCATGTCGATGTGTGGACAATGACATGGCCGCGGAGCTTCCTCTCCTAAACTTAAACTACTACTCACCTCCAAAACCAAAAGCAGCAACAAGAGGAATAGGCCACTAGGCCGGCGAGCAGCAGCCATGGGCATACCTTTCTTTCCAGTTTCCAAACCAACTCGGCCTCTCAATCCATATCCCACCTATAACAACATTCTTATAATGCCTTGCCTGAAGAAGATTAATGAGGCCATTTTGACGATGAGAGAGATGGAAAAATGAAAAAGAAAGTGCATGCAAGATGCGCGTGTGGGACTGACTGCTTTAGCAATCCAAGGGAAATGGGAAACCGCGCGGATATTGCTTTTTCATGTATTACATACTAATTCTAATGTCATGTGGTGACCCTTCACCACTGCTCACTATGTTTGTGCTCTCTCTATTCTATTTCTATATTTCAATCACACACACAAACAACCACTTAAGCATGCTGGTGTATTGCCAGGTGCTTTAAATATTTTTGGGAGAAATATTTTTTTAAAAAATAATTAAGATCGGTTTTTATATCTTCTCATGATTTTATTTTATTTTACATATTTTACTTCTCATAAATTTAATTTTGATGTACTTATCCTGAGCATTATTTTTATTTTAGAATATAGTATTATAATTGCAAGGGTGAGAATTCGAGTTTTAATTATTTTTCAAAGGCGGCTAATTTTGTTAGTACTCAATATATATATACATGAACTCAAGTCATACTTGTAACTGTTATTATTTAACATTATGAATTTTAATGTTAGGTAATTAATTCGTCAATTACAATTTTATCTGGAAATATATGTCAATTACCACCGTTTGTAAAATAAAAAAAGGTAATATAATCCTAAAATGTTTTTTAAAGATCCTTGTATAGATAGATATAACTTGTAAGTATATTTACATTGAATAGTCCAACAACCTCTTTTTTTCCCTAGTTTTCCATTTTTTTTTTATACTTTATGAAAGCAGGAGGAATAATAATAGCAGAGTGGATGCAAATGAACGAACATAATTAACTTGTTAAAGATAAAGCATGAAGTGTAGATGGAAAAGGTGATGCAAAAATTAATTAAGGTGGTCAAATCCAAGTGATGGGCTTTGGATTCCAAGTCAAATGATTTTTATATGGAAGTCCAAGTGGTTCCAGTACTTGGTTCATTTGTAATTCCAAGTGCAGCATTGGTCATGCCACTTTCACATTAACGTTGGTTCGCATAACCATTGATTTGAAGGGCTCATTCTGCTACTTACAAAATTCTCGGTCGTACCTTATCATCAGAGGAAAAATAAGCCTAAAGCTTAAATTTGCCACAACTAGGGCGGCCCCCAGTGTCAACCCATCGGGTAGCAAATCACAAACTTGGACGTGTATGAAATGCCGTCTAGCAGCACATATCGCAATCCCTTATTATTACACACCTCGAACTGAACTTGCCTTTCCTATTAAGTTGTTGCGCAGCAGACAGAGACAAGGAACTGCCAACAAAAACTTGGAATGTCCAAATATTTCAAAACAAGGTGTCAATATTTGACAAAGAGGCCCAATATAACCTCACTCTCTGAAAACATGGGTGACTTCTATTAAAAATAAATAAATAAATAAAAACAAAAACAAAAACTATAGATGACTTAATATAAAAATGCCACAATCCAAAGGGAGAGTTTTCCAATCAATCGTCGTCGTCATCTGCAATTGATGGAAATTTTAACTCATAAATAAATAGGAAGGGGCTCATTAAATTAACAAATTAAAAAAGATAGAACAGGCGAAAAAAGAAGGCAGATATAATTGTATCCTCAGCAGCAAATAATTAAATAAGAAAACCAGGTTAAAACCCTGGTGTTGAAGAAAGACGAGTATCAAAAGGCTAGAAAAAATATGACCATGACACTAACATGTGATGGACTGATTTTAGACAGGTATTGTTAAACTAATATTATAGAATTGGACTTACTAGATACAAAATAGGAAGTTTAGGGACCTATTATAAACCTTTTAAAATGACTGTACAAACACAAACTTGAAAGTTCTGGTACCTGTAGGAAACTTCCTAAAGTAAAGGAATTACAAAGGAGGTTTTGTTGCACATCAAGACTAATAATATAGCTAACTCCAAAGAGCCCCTTCGAGACCTTTCTACTTGCACTTCTTGTAACAAACCTACTACTCAAGCATTTTCTTCTCAGGTTAGCAAGATGTAGTTTCGAATTTTAAGCACGGACCACATAAAAATGATCAACAATTGAACAGCTGACAGCAGCAACACTAAGATAGTAAGTGACCGTCACAACAAGAGCCCAAAAAGAATGGTTTGTTGTTGAATGATCTTCCATATTGATAAATAAGCATCAAGCAAACATCCAATAAGGTTCCTAGTGTAACATAATGACACCGTAGTGAAATGAAATGCGATCATAATAGTAAGGTTAGTTTATGTGATTTAAAATGTCTGGAAAAAAAACTATCCACAGACTTTAATGACAACAATATACGAGAGGCTCCATTTGTTCTATCTAGAATTCGGGACAATGTGATTAATATAAGCTTCATCAGATTTTGGCTTCACTGGTGGACTGGAGATGCCCCTGTTCACCCTTTGTATCCTAAACCTTAATTTTTCTCCACCCAAAAGCACATGGGAAGAAACTTGGAACCCCTTCCACCCTGACTTGAGACCTCGGCTTTAGAAGATAGGTTTTGGATAATGAAATTCAGGAACAGGTTCCCCCTTGGCGTCCTCCCTACAATTTATCTCACTTGCAGCCCTGTAGTTGGTTGGTAGACTTTCAATGTAGCTGGCTTCTTCACCATCATATCCCTGTTCCTGGATTTGTTGAGACAAGAAGACACATCCACTACACGAACATCCACCTTGTACAAAGAAATACGGCATGGTAGACATCCAAGAAAGGTACAATTCTTCCTTTGGGAGCTCAATTATGAAAGCATTAGCACTAAAAAGCTTGTGCAAAGGAGCCTAACCATGGACCTTTCCTATTCCCACTGTATTCTTTGCAGAGAAGGCTGTGTAGAGCTAGACCTTGGTTTCCTCAAATACCCCCTTGCAAACAGGGTTTTGGAGACCCTCCTCTCGACTTTCAATTGGCAAGTGGCATCCCAAAGAGTGTCAAAGGCTTTTTAGAATATGTATTGCTAGGTAATCCTTTGGAAAAGGACAAAACAACTCTTTGGCTACAACCCTACAATTGATTAGATTTGATTTTTAGAATCTTTGGTTAGAAAGAAACAATATAACCTTCAATGATAGGAAAAAAGTCCATGATAACAATTGATTAGATTTGTTTTTTAGAATTTTTGGTTATAAAGAAACAATAGAACCTTCAATGATAGGAAAAAGTCCATGACAACTTTCTTCATAATGTAAATTTTTTTTGCCCCTTCATGGAGAAATTATATCCCCAAACAGTTACAGCTTTTGTGATCCTATCAGAAGAATTCTTTTGTGACCTTCTTAGGTTTCTTTGAGGCTTGGCTCTCGTCCTTTATGAAATATTAATTTCTGATAAAAAAATGTGTGTATGTGTGTGAGGAATACAAGAAAAAAAGCTGGAACACAAAGCTCGCATATATATATATATATATTCAAAAGGAGCATGAAGGTGGGAGCTGGAACAGAAATCATAATGTAGAGGGGCGAGAGATTCAAAAGGAGCAGAAATGTAATTAGATGATAGAAGAAGAAAGTGACCAAAGTAGCGGCGCTCGTTGGCTGCTTTGGCTTTGTCGAGCATCTTGTCAAGGTCCTGCTGGAGCTTAGCGTCCCATTTGACGAGCTGATTGACGAAGACGGCTCCCAATCCCATTCCAACGACGTGCTCCCACGGATCTGCATAGTTACAAAATGGAATCAATGACAGAACTAAAAAAAACAAAGGAAGAAGTGTGAAAACTGAATCAGGAATGGAGAAGGTTAGGGTTTTGCTTTCTCATGAGAGGAACGTACGGCGCATGTAAGGGAGTTTACGGAGAGCATTAGAATACATCTGAGTGCCGAGGCCCAGAAGGGCTCCGATCATCGTCGCACTTATATGACCCAATTTCTCTTTTTCTGCCACTCAAGAGAAAGGTGGTTTGACGAAATTGCCTCTGTTGTATATGAAAAAAATGAACACATCTATTCTTAAAAAACTCGACCGAGATCGCACAAAACTCGACGGAGTTTTTATAAAATTCCCCATAATTTTACTAATCGTTGGTCTTCGATTTCCCCTTTCTTCTTCCCTTCTTCTTTCTTCTTTCCTCTTTTTCCCTCTTTCTTATTTCTCGTATTTCCTCTTCTTTGGTT